ACATGTCCTGACGCACGCACTTCACTAAAACTCATGTAAAACATGGCGTATAAAGATTCGAATGAGATTGCGTGTCCCGCCCCGGTGGCCAAAATAAAATAGTACACAAGAAATGAAGGGGAGAGAAAAGGAGGAGGATAGGGAAAAACATGAACAACACAAAAGCGAAAGAAAATAAAGTCAATGGGGGGATATCATAGATTAACCTATCTACTTGTCGTCATCTTCATCATCTGTACCCTGATTGTGCAATCAAAAAAGTCCAGTGTAAACGCTCACTCAGCGCCGAAGAAACCAAAACCAAAGACTACAAAAACGCCCTCAGACGATGACCGTAATCACCACCAACCAACCTCAATCTCATCGCCACTCAAAAACTCAAACCCAGAAATCTCCCCCGTCCGCACTAGCAAGTCTAGTACGGACTATCAACAATATCATTCCTCCCAAGATAACTACCCCTCACCCCACTCCTCCGTCCCGCACCCCCACCAACACGACTAGGCATAGCAATGCTCTCCCTCGTCGGCCTCTGCAACGCCCTCTTCGCCACCATATCAACCTGATTCGGCAATGCCACAATCAAATTCTTGTCTGACCCAAACTTGAAATTATCAGCCTTGACCTGCTCAGCATAGCGCTTAATGTTATACGGATCCCTGCGGTTAGCAAGGACCTTCTTCATACTCCACGTGATGATGAATGGGCCTGTAGCAGTGATGATTGTAGTTTCCTTGTCATCGAGACCAGTGTTGAAGCGCGCAGTGGTGAAGGAGATGGGGGCTTTTGTTTCGTGTTGAAATTGTGCGACGTGGGCGGGTGTGAGGGCGAGGCGCCGGGGTTGGGGTTTGTCGTCTTTGGCGAACGACTTTTCGAAGCCCAGTTTGCCATCGTTTTTGCCGCCTTTTTGAAGCGCGTCAATGAGGAGGAGGTAGGTTCGGGTGGTGGCAAGCACCCAGCGACCGTCGGCTGAGACGTCCATGCCGATGATGGGGTCGCCGAGGGCGGGGATGAGAGTTTTGGCGTTGATGCCGAGACGGTCGAATAGACGGATGTCTCCTTTCTCGGATGCGACGGCGATGTGGCCCTTTTCGGTTGTGGCAGCGGCGGAGAATGCATTCTTTGTTGCATATTGCTTGAGCTGATCATCAACAAGCTTGTTGCCGGCCAGGCGGGGATCTACACGGAAAAGAGCATTGTCGGATAGACCCAAGAAGGTTTGTTCACCGCTCATCTGGGCAAATTTCTGGATATAATCAGTTTGTCGTCAAGGATCAGCGGCTCCCTTGTACTTACGTTCTCTGGTGCAAAGACCTTGACAGGGATATCATCGTGAACCTTCCACTCATCGACGACAGTGCCGGTCTCGAGATCCATCCGGTAGAGGTTGTTCGGGTTGTCCAGGGTCTGCAGAATCATATCCCGATCCTGCTGATGAAGCATGACCTTGTCAGGATTGAACGCTTTACCGCCTGGAGTCTTGATGTTCGTGATGGCAGTCGAGAATTGTAGTTGGTTGTCCGGAGTATGCTTGAACACACCAATCTTGTCACCACGCACAACGAACGACCTGTCGTGTTTGTAACCAACAGCCAGCTGCGAGTTCTCATCACCATCCTTGGGACCAGTCTCAACGTCCTCTTCTGACTCATCCGAGTCGTAGTGTTCGCTCCGCTGCTCGTTGGTGCTCTCGTACTCGTCTTCGCTCTCTTCCTCCTCTTCTTCCTGGTCTGGCGCATCTTCCATAGTCATATCCTGGAAAGCTTCCAGAACGTATTCACGGTCGGTGTCCTTTGCCTTGCCCCATTTGACCTTGTTCAAGTGCTCCCAGAGAGCCTGCATCACACCCTGCTGGATGTTTTCGAGCTCCTCTTGATTCTTGAATTTCAAAAGCCATGAGTATGCTGAGCCATCGTCGAGGTAGTGGTTGAAGATGAAAGATTGGTATTCATAGTTGAAGACGGGGTTGATGTCCTCGACGATGGGCTGTCCGAGCCATTCGCGCTCTTCACCAACAATGTGTAGCCAGTAGTTCCAGTTACCAATCTCCGTCACTGTGACGTTGACCTTGGCATCTTGTTTCACAAAGGTGCCCGAGGGAAAGTCGAACAAATGAAGCTCGGCATCGCCCTCAGCCAACGTCTCCTGAGCTGCTGGCTGTGCAGCAGACGGCGGAGCAGCTGTAGCTTCCTCCTTGGCCGGCACCAGCTCCTTTCCTGCCACCTTCTTCTTCATGTTTTCTTTAGTTGTGTTGGGAAAGAGCTCTTCGGCGGTTGGAGGTTCGATGGGTCGAGTGAAAATGGCCGAGCTTGTCGGGCTGATGACGGGGCTCGCGTCGGGTATGGGCTCTTCGTAGTAGGCTAGGGCGGCGAGATCGTCCTCGGTCGCGTGTTCGCGGCTTCGTCTAAACTTGCGCTCGTATTGGCACTGTAGAGCTACGCGCTCAAACAGAGCAGCAGTCTCGGGCTTGATAGAAGCGTCGCAAACAAACTCCCAGATATCGTCGATGTCGCCACTCAGGTCGCGCCACGCAAAGATCCTCTCACCAGTCGAGCGAACGTCGTCGCGAAACTGTAGGTCCTCGTCAAGAAGGAAAGTCTTCTCGTCCTTGTCGCCGGCGAGCGCTTCTAGTGCGGCGTCTTCGTTCTCTTCGGCGAGCAGATCCTCCTCACCTTCTTCGTATGCACGCTGGACAACAAGCTGGTACTGGAACTCCTGACCGGTGCGCCGGATAGTAGCGGCAGCGTCTTTGAAGATGAGCTCTGAGTAGCCCTTGACTGAGCGGGGGCGAACAATATAAAGCTGGCCCTGGGGGATTTCGACAAGAGTTTCCTTGGAGCTGTCGCCAAAGACAAATTTACTCACTGCGCGTACAAGCAAATTAGTGTCGTCTCAGCAACCGGCGGGGGAGGGGCAGCGCCGCAAGGGGAGCACACGGCGGGACTTACGGTTTCGGAGCATAAACATGGCGAAAGTTGCTAGGTGGCTGCAAGTGCGCGCTGGAGGACTAAGCTTTGTATATGTGCTTAGAGGAGCAGCGCACGTGCAGTACCATCTAGCTGAGACTGGGCGTGAAATCGGAGGCAGCAATCGTTCGCCATGATGATGGCGCCAGGGTCTTGCAGCAAACAGGCCCGCCTTCGCTTAGCGACGTCATCCCAGCTTGCATTAGTCGCCAAACACTTCACTGCCTAGGTTCGATCTGGTTTAGACAATTCCCGTACCGATGGACGCTTTTGAGATACATTATTTCGTTAGATAGATACAACAAGACATGCCCAGCCTGAATCGTTTCAAAAAACACCCCCAACACCCTGATCACACGCCTAGCACCTATCCAGAGATGATCACACATGCGCTCTTTTTCACCTGGTAAGAATGTCCGTCGTCCACGACGGCTTGGAGCTGGTAAGTGTATAAGGGGTTCTTATAGCTAGCAACATGGATACCGAGACGCCTATTTGGGTATCGTAGATTTTTGTTCAAAGAAATTTCCTCCTGCAAACACCCCCTTCAGGGAGTCTTCTGCGCGCCCCACACGATGCTCTCCATGAGCGCATAGGGCGAAGAATCAAGTTCCAGGCCAAGCAGCGGTGACTGCGAGAACATGTTGTCAGAGTCCCCGTTCAGAGCGTTGTTGATGTCCTGCGCTGTAAAGACATGCATCGTGGGTGAAGCCTGTGAACCCGACTCGCTCGCTTTGCGGTTGTGCGTCGATGTGATACTTAGCAGCCGCTCGAGCGCAGATACGGATCGTGTAATGGGCGTAGCCAGTTCGGCAGGATCGACGTCTTTGGTTACGTCGGTGAGAACCTGGATCACGTTCTGGAGTAAACCTCGCGCGCGTTCGTTACGGTTATGTTCGCCGAGAATACCAAGCAGGAGTGCTGAACTCAAAGAACGATGTACGGCAGACCACGAACGAGTAGCGAACGGTGTCATATTTTGCAGACCGAGGAAGGCCTCAACAGTGTTGGTGAGGCTGTCGATGCATGTTTTTCGCAGCGTTTTCGAAAGATCGAGGTTGGCAGTGGCTGGGCTGATAGCAGGACGACAGAGCTCAGAGGTCACGTATGAGATGTGGAGGTACAATGCCCAGTGTTCCAGTTGATCGCGCATCGACCTACATCGCCTAGAGTCTTTGAGATAGTCTGCTGCATCAATCATGATCTCCTGGAGCTCGTTGCGGTGCTCAGTTATCCTCATCAGAGCGTCGTGGGAGTTTTGCGGCCGTTGACGCTCGCGCACGATATCGAGGCCCACCTTGCACAGGCGATACATACTCTCAACATAAGTCCGTGTCCCTGGCGCCGTGTGCTGGCTCATGGGCACGGTATGATCAATGGTTGTGGTCGACGAGGCCCGGTCGTATGAGACAGACAGCAATGAGTCTTGCCATAGCAGTGCCCACCATGTCTTACTCCGCGCGACTCTCTGTTGCACGGGTGTTGACGGAGGACATTGCCGATGTAGCCCTAGCGTCTGCGATAGTCGTACCGTCAGCCCCATTAGGCTCCACGCTACGCCAGCATTCATATTGTTCGAGATGACGTTGCCAAGAATCAGGAGGGTCTGAATGTTCTCGATGTTCGCATGCGACAGGAAGTTTGTGAAGCGCAGGCACTCGAAGCTGCAACACACGTAGACCTGAGATGTCAACTCCCTCTCTCGTCGCGACAGACTTGAGCACTGGCATCCCGAAGCTAGAATGGCAAAGACTAGGCCTATCCAGTGAAAGTCCTTGCCGTGTATCTGTTGATCTGATATGCCGGTATTGCCCTGTGAGCTTGCGCGGTTGATCAGAAACAACAGGAGATCTGATTCGATGGCCTCGATGTCGGCAACGGCGGGGTAGACGGTATGTGCCGTTTCTCGATAACTTCGGAAGAAGCTGAGGCATTCGGTATCGCTCGGTAGGGCATTCGCTAGTTCTTGGGCGCGCATTATCGATCCGTGCGGTAGTCCCCAGAGGTCCACGAACGGGTATGTAGCGCTCTCGTTGTCCAGGCCAAAGATGGGCAGCATGCTCTTCTTGCCTAGCAGATCTTGTACTCCCGGCGCCCATTGTGTATCCCCCCGTCCGAGAGCCATGACCAGAGCGGGTACGGAGCTGGGTCCGATGTGTATGGTTTGGCCGGTGATGTCGTTGCGCGTGTGTATGCCCTGAGTGCGGACATGGCTCTGCTCGCCGTCCATAGGCGCTGCCGCCGCCAAGGGAGTGTTACCAGAGCCATCGCCAGGAGAGAAGCCATTCATGGGTGGGGGAATCTCTGCGACGCTGCCGACGGCATTCTTCAGATCATTGAGTGACTTTTCAGCCTGTTGAAGTTTGCCGCAGATGCGTTCCCAGTCCTACGATGGTCAGTATACACGATTGTTTGTTGTAGTACTACACAGACCTCTCGCGGCAATGTGACTGTACCGCCGTGAATATGCACCAAGCCATTGGAAAAGTCATGGCCGTTGTTCTGTCCAATACCAAGGTGTATTCGTTTCGCAGGCGGATGCGACTCGCTCGGTGGGTGGTAGGTACACAGTTCGGGATGTTCGCGGACGACGCATGTCTTACAAGGCACGTTCTGGTCACATTTGACCTTGCGCTGTCGACACGGATAGCAAGCCTATAGCGTAGTCCAAGGTCAGCGCAAGTTCGTGGGGCAGTAGCTCTGCCGTGCTTGAATGCGCCGGGTTCCGTAGCCCGATTCGGCAATGTCAACACATTCTCTCGACATGTCCTCGGTCTTGTACCTGGTCGCCCTGGCCGCCCAAACTGCCTCCTCTTCTCCATTGCTCTTCCTATACCCCAACATAAAACCGCGTACCTTATATTCCCTCGCTTTCCGCTTCCGCCGCAAGATCTCGTCCACATCGGCACGTGGCGGTGTGTCTTGCATGAATCCATTGGGCGTATGTGAATGGTGCTGCTCCTTCAGGTCGTCCATGGTCGAAGCTCGGAGGAAAGTCGTCAGAAGTCAAGATGGGCCGGATACGCGCTGGTGGAGTTGGTTGTTCGCTCGGCCTTTCCGCTCGCTGAAGCCCCACTTGGGCAAGGATGGGGATCGCCCTGGGCTAATCACGCGACTAGGAAGTTTGACGGCTGCTAAGACGGAACTGACCTAGCCCGACTGTCCACTGTGCTCCATTCTTTCACGACACGGGACTCACCATCGTCCTTGACGCGGAAAATCTTGCTTTTCACCCTGAGGACGTTCTCCTTTCCGCCGATGCTTCAGCGAATCATCAACACAACAAGCCGTTCTCCAAAGACCCCGCTACCTTGAGCTTGCCAACACAAAATATCGGGTAAATCAGAGTGATTTGACATGATTACTGAGTTTCTAGGCTATACTTTCCAACCCCGGATCCTCGTTGATCCTGTTCTCGCGAACAAAAAAGGAATTATAAGGCCCCCGAACGCCATGCCATGCAATGCAACGCAACACCACCAATGCAATCCCAGATAACCGCCACTATCCAATCAACATACACCCCGGATTTACTATCAATTGCTGACTATGCAACCTGCTTCTCATGTGCCTTGCTCTCGGTCTCTTCGCTATACGCATAGTGCGACCGTGCTCGGATCTTGGCCCCGTAAAAGTAAAAGATAAATGGAATCGCACAGCACGCCAAGCCGATGAAGGCGAGAAGCGAACTGGCCCACTGATTGCCGAGACGGTCATACATCTGGTTCGTAAACAAGACCGCAGCTGCACCCCAGAAGCTTCGCAAGAATGTCTTGGCCGCCAGAGCAGACGCGGCCTGGTGCTGGTACGAGTCGACGAGGTAGTTGTTGGCCGAGTTGTAAAGGAAGATGAAGCCGAATCCCACAGAGCCGCCTCCAAATGCAGGGCCAGCCCAATGTGTCTCCTTCTGACTGGTCCACGCGAAGATGAAGACACCAATCGGGATGAACCAGCAGGAGCACATCATAGGAATTAGCCGTACTTCGGCTGGCGGGTGTCCGTTGTGCTTCTCTGAGAGCTTGAGATAGTGTTTGTTGACCAATGGCGCGCAGGCAGCCGATAGTAAAACGCCACAGATGAGGGGGATGAACATCAATCCGACAGACCCGGCGCTCCAGCCCTTTGTCTTCTCATATACGATAGGATAAGCGACGAAGAACATGTACAGAAGTCCGTACAGGACCGACATGTAAACCGAGATGAGGAAAACGATGAGTTCGCGGAAGAGTAGCTGGAACGGTCGTAGAAGGAAGAGCTGGAGGCGCTGGCTGAAAGGTCGCATGTCGAGATCCTGTTCCGTGACAAACCTGTCATCACCCGTCTCTTTACGCATCTTCTTCGCCCTCTTAGCCAAAATCGTAGGAGCATACGTCTCCGGAACCGTAAAAGTGATCAACACCCAAACAACAGCGCTGAGGATAAGCTGAATCCAGTAAAGCCAGCGCCATCCACCAGCTTGACTCAAGTATCCACCAACCAACGGCCCAACTCCAGGACCAATGAATGGAGCCGCACTGAACGCCGCCATAGGAACTCCCCTCTCCTCCGACCTCCACATATCCGCCAACGTCCCTCCCACCAATGTCATCGGCGCCGAAAACGCCACACCAGCAATAAACCTCGTGACAAGCAACGTCCCAATATTCTGTGCCACAGCCCCTGGAATCGTGAAAATCACAGCCAACGCAAGTGTAACCCCATACACTGGCCTGCGTCCCCAGATCTCAGACGCCGGCGCAAATGCCATGGGCCCAACACCAAACCCCACGACGAACAATGTAATCGTCAACAGAGCTACCTCCTCGCTCACCCTAAACTCTTTGCTCACACCCCCTAGATCCGCGGTTATGACAGCAGAGTTGAAGGCGACGGCGAAACAGGTTACGGCTACACACATGGTACACCACCACTTGTATGCCTTACTCCAGTTCTTGGGGTTCTCCTTGTCGTCGATGGTGAAAGTGACGAGATCATACTTTTCCACCTTTCCCGCTCTAGACCGGACTTCGCGGAGCATGTGGCCCGAGAGCGTTTCTTGCGTGTATTCTTCTAGCGCGGCATCGTTGGAGAGGGTGCGGAGGGGGAGGTTGACAATGTCTTCGATTGTAGGGGTGCGGTGGAGGGGTGCATCTACTCGGGTCGTCGAGGATGCAGAGTCGCGGGTGGTGGTGGGCTGCTCGGCGGCAAAGTCCCGGGTTGTGGGTTGTTGGACGTATTCGGTCGCCATGGTTGTGGTAAGTGTTTGGGAAATTGTTCCCGTATAGGTAGGAATGAATGAAGAAAACAAGAGATTTAACTCATGCAGCTTCCAATATCAAAGTATTAAGCCGTTGTCTTCACAAAAACGTCACTCAAGACGATATATGTAAAACTTTCGTAAACAAAACGCAATACCGCGCTCAAGAGTTCATACCCACCCAACTCAGCGCACACCACCTACCTTTATATACTCACCCGTTCCTCGTACGACTCCGACTCCATAATAAAAACCTCAAAACAAAAAATGCTATCACGGAAAACTCTCGGAGACTGAATACAAGTATCAGTTCAGGCGGTCGTACCCGTCGCTAAAGTCCTAGTTTAGGTACGTGTGGGTCCTGACGCATTTGGGTTGGAAAATCCGAGTGTTTGCCGAGAGAGGCGTTTGGGTTTTGAAGGACTGACCGAAACACACAATACTAAAGACATTAGGAGATAATTTTAATGAGAGGGTAGAAGTATTTTAGGTTGGAGATTCTGCTGACTTCATCTTGAGACTGGTGGTTGGTGATGTATTCGTGTTGTATTGGGCGCAAGACTGTTCATCGGATATGACAGCGGGCGACGGGAATAAACGATCGTTGAAGTCATACGTCTTGGCGAAATCTTGGCATACCCTCATACGTAGTTCGCCCCTGATTTGCAAAACTGTATTCGATGGAGACTTGATAAGACCCTTTGTCAAGTCCCGTTTTTCTTTTCCTCGTTAGGATATGAACGCGCGGTATGAGAAAAGTGGTACTGGAACAAGAATAGGAATGCTGATAGTAGATGAAAGATACCTACACCAAGAGGCTATGGAAGACGGTTGAAGAAAATATGGAACGAAAAGATGTGAACAACTAAAGAAGCTGACAACAGAAAACCCCCTGGAATGCAAACCACACAGCCCACAAACCCAATTCACACTACACCTACCCAACAAGCACAGCACTCTCCTCCACCTTCTTCTCGCTCTCCTCGCCTTCAACCTCACTAGGCTGCACAACCTGCCGTCCCTTCCACCCCTTCATCAACTTCCCCAGTCTCTTCCTCATCCCATACTGCATCCAAAGCGGCCAGCCCCTCAGCGGCGGCAGCAAAAACCACATATTCTCCGGTAACGTAACATGCGCACTCTTGCCACTAAGCACCGCCTTCACAATGCCCTCAGCCACAGTCTCCGGCCACAGCACACCCCTCTGTCCGAATCCCTCGAACAACTTGGTACGAGTATATCCCTGGCACATGAGCACAGTGCGCACTTTAGGCGCCTTGTACACATCGACCAATTCCGCAGAGAGACCTTCGTGGAAAGCGATAGCCGCGGCTTTGGAGGATGCGTAGTCGACCATGGAGGGCGCGGAGAGGTAGCCGGCGACTGAGGCAACGGTTACGATCATGCCGTGGTTGGTTTTGATCATGTGGGGGAGGAATTGCTGCACCAGGTAGTAGTGCGACATGCTATTTACACGAAACGTGAGGTTGATGTCTTTCTCGGTTGAGTCGAGGATAGTTTTTCCACGCGCGACGCCGGCGTTGTTGATGAGGATTGTGGGGTTGCCGAGAGAGGAGCGGATGGCGTCGGCGGTGGAGGCGATGGCGGAGGGGGAAGAAAGGTCGCATTTGAAGAACTGGACGGATGGGGGTGCTGTAAAAAGCATTATGTTAGTATATCTCCTTCTGTGTTTTGGGGTTTGGGAAGTTTGGGTACTGGGACATACCCTCATAATATTGGAACAAGGTCCCTCTAGTAGTATGACTACTATGGATAACCGAGTGGGAGGAGGGACAAGGCGGGGTGGCTGCAACGTATTGTATTAACTATCGTGGTTTGGTGTCAAGGTCTCACGTTATTGTGGTGGGTGCTATTGCCCACCGGGCAGTGCCTGCCACACCAGCACATCATGTGATCCCCAAGCACCTTCTACCTGGACTGAACCCAGATATTCTCAACACATAAGTCATATCCTGCACATCCAGTACAGCGACTTTAATCCCCTTCTCAGCAAGCAACTGTACGACAATCTTTCCAATGCCATCGCTGCCTCCCGTCACAACTACAACTTCCTTACTCCACACATACTCGTCGCTCTTCCAGTTATTCGTTACACCCCGGCTGAGCCACCCGTTGGCCGTGCCTAGCAGACCCAATCCAACCAGCGTCTTCAAGTGCTTGAACACGCTGGGAAAGTCGTCCGCGACGGCATTGCCCTGTTTTGTGTAGCGCGCGAGTAGAAACAGAGGGACCGTGAGCGCGGGGTTGAGAACTGTGTACCGCAGCAGTCGTGTAAATGTATCGCCGGTAACGCCTGTGGTAAATTGTTAGTTATGCTATAGGATACCGGTACATAGGTATGTAGTCCCAGCGTCGCCAGAAGCGTAGCCGAAGTCGGCCCATCTCCCACGTGGTGCACAGGGCTGAATGGACGGACGGGTAAAATGTAGCACGTACCTTCGCGCGCAAGACTCCAATCGCTTCGAATAGGCATTGCGGCAACTGTTTTGAAGGAAAACAAAGATGTAAACAACGAAGCTGCTCAATGACAGCAGAATGTTAGAAGACCCCCCTTTACACGCTTTCCGCCCCGTATTAAATAGTGTTTCGGTATGCCTGCCTTCTGGGGGGTAGGAGCTTGGACTTGGTTCCGTGCCTTGCGCGCGGCACGAAAGCGGGGTTTGTGCCAAAACGGCTATCACTATTTCAGCTGCGTCTACAAGATACCGAGGGATCGATCGCGCATGTGTTTGCAACGGACACGAAGCGGGAAGAAAGCTGAAATGGTATGAACGTATAAAAGTCGATTATTATCTGTTGTCGTAACCTGCCGTCATCGTAAAACTAAGTATACAATCACAGTAAAGAAAATATATGCTCCCTCCATGCAATGCTTTCGTCCATAAGCAGCAAAATCCATCCATCCGTACCCAAACAAAGGAGATATCTGTTGCGTCGCAAAATGTGGTATCCCTCCAAACGCCAAAAGTAAAACCCATCATGTACTATACAGACAATAAGTAAAACCCCATCCAATGCAACCATCTAAATCATGTTGTTTCCGGTCGGCTCATAGTCCATCATGTTGTTCTCAGGCACAACGCTCGGCATGCGGCTGATACGACTGGCTCTGGAGTCTGGGCGACTGATGCGGCTGGCCCTCGAGTCTGGACGTGTGATTGACATGGCGCCGCTCATCACCCTGACCACCTTCTTGGTCCTTGATCCTGCAACCAGGACTTGCGCAGGACATACCACAATCTCGTCCTCGCCTTCACCAAAATCATCACCCTTCTTGACGACGAGCGGGAACAGTACGACCTTGACTATCGCTCCCTTCGCCTCAAGTTCTTCATTTGACGTCGTCTCCCCTGACCGTTCATTCATAGTAGAAGCTTGGAATGTAACTTTGGAGACGAGATCGCCCTTGGTATCATACTCCGGCTGTAGTGGCGGTAGCATGATGTATTCTGCGCGTTGGGTGCGCATCTCAATTGATAGCTCGACAGCTAGGCGCATCACGTTACGCAGTGATTCTTGGATCTGCCGTTGCAGATGCGATGGCGGCGGAAGAAGCGTGGAAAGTGTGCTGTAGATTTCGTGCACAACAGCCTCTGTGTCTTGTGCGCGCTGCTGCATGAATGGCTCTCTCCTTGCAAGGAGAGTAAGTGTGATAGCTCGCCATTGAGCTACAGCGCGTGGCGGGCCAACCTCTGACAAGGTCTTCTCCAAGGCCTTGAGCTTTTGTCGTTGTTCCCTGTCCATACCGAACAGGTATCTGGTGAAGACGTACTCCCAGATCATTGTCATTACTACCGACATGAAAACGTCTCGGCGTTTCACGCGGTCTGCCAAAAGGGCGTCGACATCTGAGCCATCAAGGATGGCATTGTCAAGTCGTGTGTCGATCTTTTGGCGGGTCGCCGTGTCCAGTCTCGTATCAGCTGCAATCTCAGATGAGAGGCGGCAAGCGCGAGTGTCTGAGAACTTGGAGAATCGTAGGACCCATTGCTGGACATGTTGACAGAGTTGTTGACAGGCGCTGTCAAAGTAGTCCTCATCGCGAACAGTGAGGAAGCTTTCACTTGGCTTTTTGGAAGCAAGGATTTGCTTCTGAAGTGTCTTGATTTGTTCGCGTGCGGTTGCAAGCTCTGCTTTCAAGCGGTCGATTTCCGCATTGCGCTCGTCGAGTGCGGCACCGACCTCGTCGCGCACCGCCTCGGCCAGTCCTTCTTGCATCTTGGTGTGCTGATGGCGAAGCGTCTCCAACTCTCGCTGCGATGTTTGGAATTGCTGCTGGAGTAATTGTCCTTCAGATTGGAGTTGCGCATATCGTTCATTGGCATCGTTGATGAGGTTGGCCTTCTCGGCTTGTAGTTGAGCATACCTTTCATTGGCGTTCTCGATAAGGTTGCTCTTCTCGGTCTGAAGTTGTGTATATCGTTCGTTTGCTTCGTTGGTCAGATTGCGGTTGGCTTCTGATAGCGCATGGTTGAGTTCTCTGAGGCGCGCAATCTCATCTTGTAGTCGTTTAAGCGTGTCCTTGAGTTGCGCAATGTCGATGTCTCTTTGGTGAATCTGACGATCACGTGCTTCCACTTCCTCAGCTATCAGCTGCTCATCAACTTGACGTTGATGTTGTGTCGCCTGCAACGTCTCCTCGGCTCTTGCTTTTGCAGCCTCGAGCGATTGATTTTGCGCTGCAAGCTGGTCTAGTTGCGTCTGCAAATCCATGATTTGCATGCTTTGACGTTTGCGCACACTGGGTGGGCGAGATGGCGAGATGGGCGATCCTTGGGCCTCGCCCCATGCTTCCTGCGAGAGACTGTTAGTACGAGGCAAACGTCCCAACAATGTTTGGACTACTTACGAAGGTTTCAGCCATACTGGCCCGGCGACCTTTGCCTTCGCCCCTGACTGGATCGTAACCTGATGCGCTTGCGATGCCCGCGATGGCTGATGTTGCCCCGGGCGCGGGTGCTGCGCTCGGAAGATTGGGTTGCGCACTCTTAGCGTCCTGCGCACTGGCCCCGCCAAGCCCAGAAGCCGATCTCAGGTCACCTGACGTTTGCCTGTCTACTCGTCGCAACGACCGCGTAGAACTCATTGAGCTCATGGAACGTTCCTGGTCCGGAGACCTAATCCTCGCAATGTTGCTCAACGAGCGTTGACTTTGGACGCTAGCTGATCGCTGCTCCGCCATGTACTGCTTCAATGGCTCCGCGCTGGGGGAAGAACGAGGCATCCGGCGTGCGGGAGTGAGAGTCATGGTTCGATCGAGGCTCTCATTGACTTGATGCCATGGCGACGCTCTTCCACTTGTTACGTCAACCGCAGGAGGTACGCTTCTACGGCCTGTTGGTGTTGGCGTGCGCAGCGGAGGCGACCTCATGCGATCCGTGATTGACTTCAAGCTCTCTGTGTGTCGAGGTTGTTTTAGTCCTCGCTCCGACACTCCTACATCAACGATTGATCGCGACTTCTTCTGTGACCTGGAATCTTCTGGGCTGTTCTCCGTAATCGACTCAAGTGGCTGAGTGCTCCTTGGACGATCGGGCCTCGTGGTTGGTGTTGGAAGCGGAGTATTCTGTTCGGTCTGCTTCTCGCTTGGGTCGCCAAACAAGGATTGATAGGGCTCCTTCTGCTTGACCTCTGTCTCGGACGATACCAAGTCGTCATTTGAGTGACTCTGCGCTTGCTTGGCTGTGTGCGATGACTTGCCCTTGTCTTTTGATGGGGTATCGAGTACCCTCTGGTTGTCCTGACCAGGTGTCTGTGCTGGAACTGCTGGCGATGTGCCATAGGCACGTGTTGACGGGGAAGAGTCAAACAGGTAGGAGGTTCGCTCCTTTGTCGCGTAGTCGTTGTTTGGAGTGGAGTCAGCAGTGAATGTGGGATACTCGGGCAAGGCTGGGCTCTCTTCAACGCCTTGAGGACTCGCGATAGAACGGCTTGGTGTGTTTAGGGGAGTTCTAGATCCCTTTGAAGTACGCCTCAGCTTGGGGGCGGGCGTTTCGGTTGCCCGTGCTGCCTGTACCTCAGGTGTGGCCTGATGCGTAGCAGAGGGAGTTGATGGGCCTGCTACAACGGTCTGTGAAGACGACTTTGTTCTCTGAGCTGTGGAACGAGGCTCCTCGGACGGCTCCAGAGTATGGATGCGCTTCTCATTTGGCTGCTCTTTTGTAAAAGATACTGGATGCGTCCTTCGCTTGTGCGACTCAGGGTCCGCGGGTCTTGTCTCAGCGGGGGCTGACCCATCACCCAAAGTCTCCTCGACTTTCCTGCTCTTCTTGTTCTTTTTCTCCTTCTTTTCTTTTGGTGCCCATGAATCCATATCCCTCTCCTTCTCCAGCTCCTTCCTGCGTGCTTCTGCCAAAGCTGCTTCCAGTGCCTCCACATCCTCCTTTCTTGGCACAATCAGCGGAAACGGGTACTCATTAGGTTCGCTTGTAGTCAACGAGCGTGGCTCCTGATCAAACGTCACGGGTAAAGTGGGACTATATTCCTCGGCCTGCGCCTTTCCCTCCGTACCCACCTTCCTCGACCTCTCCCTTTTCATCTTTCCCTCTCTCCTCCTTAACCGCTCCTGCTCTTCTTGGATGGCTTGCTCCGCCGCGTATCTTGGTGACATAGACCTTTCCGGTGAATTTTCAAAGTTGATCGGCGCCACGACAGGCTTGGATCGGGCTGGCTCGACTTCGCGGGTTGCGGAGTCAACTGGAGTCTCAACAGCAGGAGGCACCTCTGTGAGAGCCTCAAGCGCCGGAGTCTCGGTAGCTGTATACTCGACACTTCCCTGCTGAACTGAAGCCTGCTCCTTTTCCTTCTTTGCCGTCTTATCCCGTTTTCTTGGCGAGTCCAACTCCTTCTCTTCTACCTCGGTCGATTCGGTACCCACTGGCATCTCAGGTAGAGGCTTGTGGAGCTTCATGTTCTTGGTCCTTCTCAGGCTAGAAGACCCCGCTAGCTCATCTGGATCCGCCTCTTCAAGTACGCCAGGAGGTGACTTTCGCGTTGCAAAAGCTGGGTCATTGAGAACATCCAGTGGGTCGAAAGAGGGTACATCGGCGGTTGCCACCGCTACTCCGATAGGTGGCAGGACATCAGGCTCGGTGGGTTTGACTGGTCGTATTCTAGGCGAGCCACCAGCTGATGAAGAGCGGCTCAGGCTACCAAGTCGGGACCTACTGGCTCTTTCTTTGGCATCAAACACGTCGTCATCCGGTGCGATATCACGTGCGCCCTTGCTAGAGCTGGGGCGGTGGAAAGATCTGTCGTTGTAGACAATCCCGGGATCAAAGCCCGACTCCTGCAAACTTGCTGCAACTGTGGCTGCGAAGTCAATCTCTCTTGCAGGTGACTTGGAATCCGAACGTTCCGGTGTACCTGGGCCGAGCTGACTGCGAGATGTCATTCGAGATGCAGGTCGCTTCTCGGGAGATGGGAGCAGTGAGGGTATAACCGATCGAGACTGGTTCTCGTAGCGTTCGGCAAGATTCTTGACACTCCCAGATGTTTCTCTATGGAGGTTTCGTGCTCCAGCAGGATCATCTTGCGATGAACGCTCGAACATGGCTGCCAACCTATGCGTCTTGGAAGGCTTCTTTTGCAAGGTCGGCGTTGGGACTTTCTCAAGAATTTCGGTCGATGTACGGGGAGTAATGCTCGACTGAGAAGTATCGATGGGCTTAGGGAGCACATCATTTCCAGCTCGAACCTTGGGGAAAGTGATGCGCTGCTCGTCTTGCGCGGCCTCCACAACCTGCTCAGGTGGCGCTGAGATCTTGACTTCCTTAAGCTTGCGCTCTTGGCTCTCTGACTGCTCAGGAGAGACTTCAACTTCAGGCTCGGGCACAGTAGACTCGACCTTTTCTACCGGAGCAAGAGGTGCAACCTTGACTGGCTCTTCTGAAGATTCAGCAATGCTCTTTGACTTGCGCTTCTCTTTCTTGATCTTCTTCGAAGCTGTCTTGGTCTCAGACACTGTCTCACTAGTTGACGGTTCAGTAATCTTCGAGAGATCACTAGGAGTTTGCGGCTCAGCCCCCACGGTCACGTCGCGTTGTGTAGACTCGACCTTGGTGTTGTCTGTAATTGCGGGCTTCTCTTCCACTAGATGCGACGGTTCGACCAATTGTATCTCAGTCGGTACGTTCTCCGTCGTGACCACATTGTCAGACTTTTGCGGCTCGGCCTGATCAAGTACCGCTTCCTCCTTCTTGTCCTTGTTGCTATCCTCGCGTGCAAGAGGAGGGGCAACTGCAGGCTCTGAGTCTTGAGGCAGAGAAATGTCGCGAGACTCTTGGATGGTCTCTACCACGTCAGTGGTGGGGAGGGCAATTGGCATTGGTGGTGCTTCAGCTTCAGGACCTGCTACCTCTGGCCTTGCATCTTTTGGTGATGCCAAGCTTGACTCTGGTGCTACAGCCGGAACTGTGGAGTCATCCTCAACCACCGATGTCTCCTTAGCCTTCTTCTTTTCTTTCTTGCTAAGCTTCTTTGACGGCGTCGGCGGCTGCTCCGCGACAGGCTCTTTGATTACCTCAGCGATGACGGTCGAAGACTCAGGCTCGACTGTGGCTGGCTCGGTAGGTGCTTCGATATCCTTGGCTGGCACATTGTCAGGTACTTCACTCCGGGCAGAAGTTTTGGTGGTAGCTGGTAACTGTTCAACGGGCTGCTCAATGGCCGACTCCAAAGATTCCTCAACCGGCACAACAAGATCCGATGGTGTAGCAGGCTCATCCACCGTTGCCCTCCCTTCCTTCTTGCTCAGCTCACGGGAAGGTGCATCGATTGATGCTGTCTGTTCTTCGACGGGAGGTGCCTCGATAGGCTCCTCTACCGCCGCCGACGCAGGCATCGGCGTCTCAACAACCTTCTCCGTCTCAACCACAGGCTTGGGGGCAACTGTAGGAGTCGTGAGTATGAGGCTGGAGTCGCTAATGCGCTTCGGCTTCTTGTCGTTCTTGCTCGCGAGCTTGTTGACGATATCGAAAATCGAACCAGCGAGGATGGGAGTGGACTTCTTGGCTTCTTGGGGTGGTGGACGCTCATCGTCAAGTTCGTCATCAAGGTCATCAGCGCGTTGCTTCAGGCTTGTTGCTTCGTCTTGGACGGCCTTGAGGGAAGGAGAGGGCTTTGCCAGTGGGAGACTGTCCTTTTGAGAAGTCTTGTTGTCATCTTGTCGCGCGGTAGTGGTCTCGGTAGGCTGATTAACGATGGCACGAGACAAGTCTTCCGATGGAGTGTCGAGGATTTCCGGTACTGGTTCAGGTTCGACACGTTTGACCTGTTCGGCTTGCTCGATGGCGGGAGTGCTTTCCTGTGTGGGGGAAGTAGGCTTGATCTTACCCAGAGGCTCAGTTGGCGCAGCCACCTCTTCCTGGACCTCCTCGACAGCCTTCTTACTTTTCTTGGACTTCTTCTTGCCCTTCTTTGACGTTGAGGGGGAAAGCGGTGTCTCAGGATCTTCAGCTTTGGCGACTTCCTGCTCAGCCTGCTGAACAATAGTCTCAGCCATAGGTGCATCAGCCATCTCCTGCGCTAGCTGCTCGATCTCAGGCTCGAGTGAGACGGGTTCTGGTACAGCAACTGGCTCAGTGGTAGTTGGCTGAGGTTCAACGTGCTCTAATAGATCTTGAGAGACGCTGTTAGTTGACGCTGGCACTGTCTCCGATTCGACGAGAACCTCAGCTGGGGCAGAGACGTCAAAAACCAAAAGGTTCTTCTTTTCTGTCTCCGGCTCTATCGGCGAAGAGTCCACCTCGGACGCAGGCTCGTTCTCGACAACCGTCTCGCTGACTTGCGGATCCCTTGCGGGAACTGACTCAACCTCCATAGCCTGTCTGATGGGCTCAGTGACTGCCTCATCAACTGGAAGAGATTCAGGCGCAGGCTCCCAATGAACTTCCTGCTCTACCACGTCCTCAGTGTAGGGCGCTGATATTTCCTCCATCTCCTTGGACAGTGTGATGGGTTCAATAACTACCTCATCAACAGCAAAAACCTCGGAACGTACGTCCTGATGGGCGGGTTGCTGCTCTACGACATGCTTGGTAGGTAGCGTTGGCGATGCAGATCTCTCTGTAACCACAGGCTCCGAGATATTGCGGTTGTAAGACTCGACTTCATCTACTGCGATGCGTTCGGGCAGTATAGCAGCCTCTGCTTCGAGCGATAGAGTACTTGGCTGTTCGACCACTTCCGCAGTCTCGCTGGGCAAGGTTTGGTCTTCTACTTGGACTGGCTCTGCGGTCGATTTCTCGGTCTCAACAACTGTCGCATCGGGAATGTCGTTGGGCTGCTCCTTGACATGAGTTGATTGCTGCAACTCGTTAATAGCTGGCTCGATCTGTGAAGATACCTCTGTTGCAGACTCGGCGATATCAAGGAGAGTAGGTTTCTCCTCGACCTCCTTGTGAGCGGGTACCGTAACATCTTCAGAGAGGACTTCTTGAGGTTCCGATGCAACTACCGCTGCGGTTGCTTCGTCTACTACACGCTCTGGTAGCTCGCGTGCAGCTTCTTGCTCAACGGTAGGCTCTTGAGATGTCGAAAGATCCACTGTAGCAGGTTCTTGGGCCTGCTCGGGTGAAGTGATGTCAACGGTAGGAGTTGTAGGCAATGGCTCAGTCGCAGTATGCTCGATGGGTGACGCGGCTGCTGGCTCTCTCTCGGCGATTGGTTCATCGCTTGCGATAGCAGCTGGTTTCCGAGCCTCGCGCTTCTCCTTCTTGCTTAGCTTACGACCCAGAACAGGCTCCGGGGCCTTGACTGTATCAGTCTTGATCTCCTCAGGCGCTGCCGTCTCCTTGAGCTGGATTGGCTCTGAGACCTGTTCGCTGGGTAGAGGTTCAGAATGCTCAATGGGTGCCTGTGTGGGTGCTTCTGCTGTTACAGGAGTCTCAGAAGATATGGCGTTCTCTTCAGCCTTGGGTTGCTCTGCCACGGCAGGTTCAACACGAGCTTGCGCATCGAGTGTGGGTGGCACGACGTCTGCGATCGGTGTCGCGGCGATATCACCACCAACCTCTGGAGTCTCTTCCACAGCCGGTGTTGCAGCGCTTGCCTTCTTCACCTTCTTGTTCTTCTTCTTGGATACCGAAGGCGAAGCTGGCTCCTCTAAAGTAGGCTCAACTTCCGTCGCGACTGGGATGATCGGCTCGATAGGCTGCTCCTGTTCAAGCGGGCGTTCGTCCTTTGTGAGGACGTCTTGCTGAGGAGTAGGATCTGGCACTTCGACGTTGCGGTCTTCTTCTATAGAGCTGTGGAGTGTAGGCTCATGTGCAACAACTTCTTGGGGTTGTTCGGGTGAGAGATTGTCGGCTTGCACCTTTTCACTCGGCTGCTCAACGAGAAGCTCAACTGCAGGCTCTTGAACAATCGGGGGCACAGCGCTGTCGTCAATCAAACGTTCTTGCTCAGTCACAGGCGCATCCACCGAGACTTCAGCGTTGTCGCTACGCACAGCCTCTACAATAGGCTCTTCTCGAGATACAGGCAGCGGGACGTCTTCAAAAGCCTCGGGCTTCGCGACAGGCTCGAGGATACCGACTTTCCGGGAGGCTTCAGGCTGGGATTTAGAAACGCCTTCCGTAACAGGCGTGATGGTATCCGAAGCCTTCGCCTTAGTCTTCTTGGCCTTCTTCTTCGCCTGCTTAGATGGAGTTGTGGCGTCTTCTACGGGAACTGAGACCTCAGGCTCTACAACTGAAGCAGGAAGTGGCTCGTTCGCGGCAGATAATGGAGTCTCGAATCTGGGTTGTAGGACGGTCTCATCTTCTGCCAACGCAACCTCAGAAGTGACTTCCTTAGGCTCAACGACTACCGGTTCAATGACTGCCTCCGGCACAGGTTGTGGTTCCTCGGGCTTGGAATGTCCAACAACCTGTTCTTTGGCAAGATCCCGTGACCCTTCAGGCTGCGATACCTCAACAACCTTGACATCTGAAGCATCGGCTTGCTGTGGAACAGCCACATCACCCTGAACTGGTACGGACTCGACAATCGTCTCCGCAACTGCAGGCTCAGCTTGGAGTGGGATAGCCTCTTCAGCTCGGTCCCGTTGAACGTCGGGCACAGCCTTCTTAGCCGGCGTTGCATCAATGGACTGCTTCTTCGCCTTCTTGTTTTTCTTCTCTTCTTTCTTCGAAGGCGTTGACGATGGAAGCTCCTCGATAGGCGGCTCAGGCGCGCTAGGGGTCTCGAAGGCGGGCTGCGTCACGTCTTGTTGCTCAGACGTGACCTTTTCAACCCCAAGAGGCACCTGAGGCTCAGCGATCGGCGGTATGGGTCGCAACACTTCTTCGACAGGTGCTACAACTGGCTCGTCTGGTACTTTTGGCTGAAGACTGGGGGATGCCTCGACGGCTGGCTGTGGCAAAGCTTCCTCAGCTTCTCGTGAAGTTTCAGTCTCGGTGATTGGCTCCAACGTAACCGTAGCCTGCTCGAGTTGGACAGGTGCCGTCTCCTCGAGCTGCACGGGCTGGGCATCAGGAATAATCTCGACAGAGGTCGCTGTGTCGGGCTGCTGCTTGATCTCTTCGTCGTTCTTGATAATGCTTGGCTCGTTGAGTGCCGGTTCTTGTAGTTGCTCAGAATCATCCATAGTGAGTTCGGCATGCTCTTGCGCAGGCTCCGCGACGGATCTCTCAACAGCAGCTTCCGGTACAGGTGCGACAACCTCTTTCTGTTGTTCCTCAGTCACGACTTGCTCAAAGTCAGGCTGTGCGACTTCAGAAGCCACGACATCTTCATTGGGCTTGTCGGACTGTTCGGGCTCGACTGGGTGAGCTGCTACGTCGGGTCGATCGGTGGTAGTATCCTGAATTGACTCGTCGACCATTAGGATGACTGGCTCAGTGGGACTTGAAGCTGCGGCGTCTTTGCTCTTGTCTTCAGACGGGGCCTCCTTGGTCGGCTCCATAACGCTGACGTCTTTCACTGGTGCCTCGGCCGTAGATGCGCGCTTGTTCTTCTTGGTCGGCTCTGAGACATCTGCTTGGGCGTCTTCTACCAAGTCCACGGGTTGCGTTTCGGGTATTTGAACGGGCTCTTCCTGAGTAAGCTTGATCTCTTCCTGTGGATCTGGGATCACCGGCTGAACTTCTTCAACATCGATTGAGGTTACCGTTTCGTCTTCAGTTACGGTCGGCAAGATGGGACTTGCTGGGGCGACGACGGGCTCGACCTCCATTTTGGAGCTAGGCTCCTCAATGACAGGATCAATCGTAGCGGTTGCCGGTGGAGCTTCGGGTGTAAGCTCTTCTACAACAGATGCCGACTCCTTGGGTTCAGCTTCAACATTGTCAGATCTTGACTCCGATAGCTCGGTTGGCGCAACCCCCTGCTCGACATCCAGCGACTTCTCCTCCTCAGCTGTAGGTTTGAGATGCTCAGCTGGTTCTTCTAGCACCTTGTCCTGCGCGACCACCTCCTCTTGCGTCTCAACTACTTCCCCCGAACCCTTAGGCATCTCCTCTTGCTCATCCTGCACCACCTTATTATTATTCTCCTCCACCACCTCCTCCTTCATCACCTCCTTCACACCCTCCAAGTCCTCTTTTTTCTTCTCCTCCACATCCTCCCCCTTCTCCACCTCCACTCCCTCTTTCTTCTGCTCATCCTCCACGCCACCACGCTCCCCCATCTGCATACCATCATCATAATCATTAACAACAAGCTCATCATTCGTAAAAGGTTGGGGATATGAGGTCGGTATCCCCGAGAAAGGTAATTGGGTCTCCGAAAGTGTAGGGTTCGATAGAGACGACTGAGTATCAGAGTTGGCTGCCTCAGTCGTCTCATCTGCTAAAAAAGACTCGGCCTTCTTAGCTTCTTCTTCTTGCTGCTGCTTCTTGGCCTTTTTCGCCTTCTTCTTGGAAGAGACCGGCGATGAGGGTTCAGGCTCAGCTGCTGCATCTTGTTTGTCGGGTGGTTTGGGGTCACCTGGAGGTTCTTCTGGTGTTGCACCGGCTGTTGTCTGTTCTTCGGCTGCAGTTGCAGTGCTGGTCGGCTTTTCAATAGCGGTGGATGGCGTGGCTCGTTCCTCGGCTGACTTCAGGTTGTTGTCAGGCTCACCACTCGCGGTCGCAGATGGAAGCTTTGGTTCAGCCGGCTTTGGCTCAGCAGTTGAATCCTCTACTACTGTAGGTGTGACGGGCTGATTGGCAGTAGTAAGCTCCTTGAACAATTCTTTCACGGGAGTCGCTGGCTGAGATAGTTCGCCCTCAGCAATGGATGCTCGCTTTGCCTTTTTGAGCTTCTTCTCTGCCGATTTGAACAGATTAGCCCACTCCGCTGGTTCCTGCTCGTCCTCTTGTTTGACCTCTGTTGAGGACGCTGCAGTAGCAGAAGTATCGGGCTGAGCGGGTGCCTCTGAAATGATGGCTTCAACGGCAAGTTGAGGCTCAGAAGTCGCAGCAGTGTCCTTAGCTGTTTCCGTCTTGATCTGCTCGGTGGCAGGGGTAGTGACTGAATGCTCATCAGAAGGTGTGGCGACTACGTCCCGGCTCTCGGTCGCAGGCACAACAATCGATACTAGAGGCTCCGATTCGACTGTGGGTGGGATTCCGGTCTCTTTGGTGAGCTCCTTGGAAACTTCTTCAACCGGGGTAGAAGGTACCGACAACTCAGCTTCTGCAACAGAACCGCGCTTGGCCTTCCTCGCCTTCTTCTTGTCTTTCTTGGTCGGGGTCGAAAGCTCGTCGGTGATCAAAGATGGTGCGTTAGGCTGTTCGGTAGTCTCGGTAGCGGTCGTAACTTCCTCGGCAGTGGCGGTGTCGGATGGCTGCTCTTGAAGTGGTGCTGTTGCTGTAGCTTGGTTATCGCCAGTTGTAGGGAGAGATTGCTCCTCCTCCTTCGGCTCTTGTGCAACAGGAAGAGTGGCAGTAGGTTCCACTGACGCAGTTTCCGACACTTGCTGTTCAGTCGCTGGCGCAGCAAGGGGCTGCTCATAAGTAGCTGGTACAACAAGATCAAGCGGGCTCTCCTTCTTCTCCTCGGTAGGAGTGTCGATAGGCGTTGATGTACCGCTTTCGGCAATAGATCCACGCTTCGCCTTCTTTGCCTTCTTCTTCTTCGAGACGGGTGACGCAGGCTCCACTGTGACCTCTGGCTGGCTAGACTCTTCGGTAGTAGGTGTAGCGGCAGGAGCTGAATCCTCGATAGGCGCAACAGGAAGAACTTGCTCCTCCGTAGATAGAGATTCGCGTTCCAACTTCTCGCTGATTGGAGCCACAGTGACGGCCTGTTCCTCGACGATCGGCTCAGTCTTTTCCTCGATAGGCAGTGATGGGATGGAAGTGGTCTCTTCGGAAATCGAGACACGCTTGGCCTTCTTCGACTTCTTCTTGGAGACAGGGCTGGTGGGCTCCTCAGGAACATCATGTGTGGTGATGAGCATGCTGGCGACAGCAGGCTCTTCGGCTGTCACCACTTCGGCAACTGGTACATTAGCGGGCCCAGATATCACAACTGGCTGCTCAGAGCTTGAAGCGTCATCTTCTAGACCTGATGTCTCGGGAAGGGGGACAGTTGCTGCATCTTCCGCAACAAGATCGCGCTCGGTAGATAGATTTGCCACAGGTGGAAGATCAAAAGTAGGCTCCTTGGTTGATGCAGGGGCTGGTGTTGACTCTGTTACAGCAGCAGAAGCGGATGATGGCTCTTTCACAACTGCAGGGACTTGTTGCTCGGACAAAGACGATTTCTTCTCTTCAACCGGTGTCTCCGTGACAGGCGTGGCCGCAGATTCTTCGGAGATAGAAGCACGCTTAGCTTTCTTAGCCTTCTTCTTGCTCTTCTTGGAAGGAGACTCTTCGACATCTTGCTTCTGCTCGGATTCACGCGAGACCTCTTCGGGCTGTACGACGACGGCTTCCTCTTGGAACTCAGGTACGGGTGCAACCTCAGCCGGGCCAAGTGTGGTGGTATCTTCGGCCTGGGATTCGATGGGCGGCACGACTTCCTGACTTGCGGTATCAACCGGCTTGGACCTCGGGGAGACAGCCCGAGTGACATCCTGAGTGTCGGCAGTGGGTTGTCCGACAACAATGTCTTGAGATTCGGACGCCTTCTGTACCTCAGTAGTTGGCTCTTCAAGCGATTGGGCCACCTCTTTGACAACAGTAGAAGGAGCAGCTGACGTTTCGTTCTCAAGCTCAGCCTTCTTAGCTTTCTTGGCCTTTTTCTTGTCCTTCTTCGGCGTCGTTGGCGCAGGCTGCTCGCTGACTTGCTCAGGCATTGTCGAGACAACGGCGGTTGCGTCTTCAGTCGGAAGAGCTGCTTCCCCGGCAGGTTGAGCAGGTTCGCTGGTGACAATGGATGTCTGCTCGGTGATCACATCTTTGCTTGACTCTGGCAAGACTTCGACATTGGGCTCAGGTAGCACTTCGCGAGTAGTCGATTCTTCAGTCGTCGTAGCGGCGGGCTGAGCGTTGTTTTGGATGGCACTCTCAGGCACGACCGGCGCAGTTTCAGCAACTGGAGTCTGAGGCTCAGATAGCGACTCTCCCTTCTTACCCTTCTTCTTCTTCTTGCTCTTCTTAGATGGGGTAGAGGGCTCTTCAGTCTCAGCCACCACTTCCGATTGTACATCAGTAGGAGCAGTAGCTTTGATGGCGGCTTCCGAAGAGACAAGCTCTTCAGGCTGGCTGGCAACCAAGGGAAGTTCCCGAGTAGCAGGTAGATCTGAGCGAGACTCAGGTGCAGTCATCCCATCCACGACAGCACTCTCGGAAAGCGTGGCAGGTGTAGTAGCATCGTCAGTCACTTCAAGTGGTTTGCTTGCAGAGGCATCGTCCACTGTAGGCTGAGGTATAGGAAGGTCGACGGCATCCGGCTTCTCCGGCGTATCTTGTGAGGTAACCTTAGTGGTAGGGTCGAGGTTGACGACTGCAGGAGTGTCATCTACAACTGACTCCGGTTGAGGAGCTGCGGGGGCCTCCAGCTCTACGTCTTGTGTCTTCGCCTTCTTCGAAGCAGGCCCGGCAACCGGCTCGAAAGACGCTGGAACGGGAGTGGCATCAGTGGGCTTGTCATGTACCTGGCGCACAACTTCCTCGACACCAACTTCGGCTGATACAGGCTCAGCAGAGGGTTGAGTTTCAGTCGCTGTGCCAATTGCCTCCTGCGAAGATGGCACGGTAGCCTCGATAGGCTGGGTAGTCTCAGAGACGTTTCCGAACTGTGGCTCAGGCTCCTCAGTAACTAGTGTACTAGGCTCAGTAATGTCGATTGATTTGCCCTTCTTACCCTTCTTCTTCTTGCTCTTCTTCGGAGTTGAGTCGGCTGGTGCTTGTTCAGTGGCTTGTTCGATAGGTGCTGGAATAGCAGCCACATCTGAGCTAGGCTCCAATTGCGTTGTGATACCAGTGGCAGGCGTGGCGATGTCAGTTTCCTGTACGGAGGCTTCGGGCTTTGCAACATCCTCCTCCTTGGTGGGCTCGACTTGTAGCGGTTCTTGCAGATCGTTGTCGTCGGTGTCTGGAAGAGCGACGAGCTCAGCTTCCGGTACGGTGATAGCAGGCGCAACCTCGACTGGTGCAGAAGTAGTATGTTCTTCCAAGTCTCTGTCGTCATTCTCTGGAAGAGCAACGAGCTCAGCAGGCGATAAAGCCGGTTCCACCTTGAGCTCCTCGGTTTGCGCGGAAGGTACTGGTTGTTCCAGGTCTTTGTCATCAGTGTCCGGAAGGGCAACAAGCTCGGCTTCCGGTACTGACACATTGGGCACTGCAGCAACCTCCTTGATAGCATTGACTTCTGCAGCTGGCTTCCGCTCTTCCAGATCTTTGTCGTCGGTTGCTGGGAGTGCCACAAGCTCAGCTGGAGATGCAATTAGCTCATCCAAATCCTTATCATCGGTCTCAGGAAGCGACACAAGCTCTGCTGGCGACATAGCCGGCTCTGCCTTGATGGTCTTCTCTTGCACCAACTTCTCGGTCACAGTAGCAGGCTGCTCAGCCGGAGTGGGTTTGGCAGATGCCTCAGGCTCGAATGCAGACTGTTCGATGATGGGAGTGCTTGGCTCAGTATCACCTGACTTGCCCTTCTTAGCCTTCTTCTTCTTCTTGCTCTTCTTTGGCGTTGAAGGAGCTTGGTCGTCCGCGATGGTCTCGGTGACTTCTTGACTTGGCACTTCGAGAACGGGCTCTTCCATGGGTTGGATAGCTGACTCGCGTATGACCTCTTGCGAGACGTTGTCGGCCGGGAGTGAAGATTGAGGGGCCTCTTGACTTGGAGTGACAGATGCTCCGGGTGTTACGTCAAGTGCTCGGTCATCTTCAGCTACAGGTTGCTGTAAAGGCTCGGACGACGAAGCAGGGCTAGTATTGACAATCGGCTCGGGCTGGGAGGCTTCAACAGAGGTTGCGGCTTCAGTCTTGTTAGCGGTTGCGTCGTCGACGGTGGACCCAAGATCGACAGATTTGCCCTTCTTAGCCTTCTTCTTTTTGGACTTCTTAGAAGGTGTTGTGGGCTCCTCCTCCAATGGTGTAGCAGGCTGCGATGGCTCTTCGACTGGCTTCACCTCAACCGGGATGGGCCCTTCAACGGTGGGCTTAGTTTGTGTTAACTGGGGAACAGATAGCTCTTCGATGACAGTAGTGACAGTCTCGGGAACGACCTCAGTAGGAGCTTCAGCGACAGGTTCGGCTGCTTGTTGCTTCTCAGAAACGGGAGCAAGGTTCTCGGTGGCTAACTCAGCTTGTGCTGGTTCAACAATGGGTCCCAGCTCGCGCTGAACTTCAGTGGTTAGCGTTGTAGGTGTTTCCTCTTCGACCTTGCCCTTCTTGCCCTTCTTCTTCTTGGCTTTCTTCGAAGGCGTTACGACTTCCTCTTCGACAGGTAGCAATGGCTCTGGGGCTGGCTCTGAAACAGGCTCAGAGATGGGCTCATGGGTAGGCTCAGCGACTGCAGAAGCCTCGCTCTCGGCAGGAAGTGGTTCAGTCACCGTGTTTTCAACAAAGGGATCCACCTGTGCTGGTTTCAACGCCGACCGCTCTGTTACTTGTTCGGCGGATGCTGCTTCGGACTCAACTGGGGCAGGCTTGGTAGGTCTTTCGAGCTCTTGCTGTTCCTGGATGACTGGCGTGCTGGGCTCATCAACCGATGTCTTTGTCTTTTTGGCCTTCTTTTTCTTGCTCTTCTTCGGTGTAGAAGGCATATCCTCGGTTGTTGGCTCGGCCGGAGTTGAGGCCTCGACCAGCGGGTCAGACTTCTCCAGGGGCGTAGACAAGTCTTCCAGGTCGTCAATCGGGAGAGGAATGGTTGCTGCATCGGCTCCAGCCTGGATGTCTTTTGTCGTTGGCTCAACGGAAGTTGAGCTGTCGGCCTCAGGCTTTGCCTGTTCCAAAGGCTCAGATAAGTCCTCGGTGAGGTCATCAGTGGGAAGAGCAACGGCTGCAGCATCAACCACGTCGTCAACCTTCTTTTCGGGAAGAGAAACTTCCGGAACTTCAGCTTGACTGGAAGATACAGGTTCTCCGATATCACAGGACTGGCTAGTAGGGGTCTCCGCAGGTGCCACTGCTTCAGCAAGTGGCGCAGGAGCTTCCGTGACAGGTGTAGCAGGCTCGACTATGGTCTCTACCTCAGGCCGAGGTGTCGCCATCTCGCTCTTCCTCTTGCTCTTCTTGGCCTTCTTGGACTTCGGCGTAGCAGGGGGTTCAGCCTCAGCCGTAATTGAAGCTTCAGGAGTCGGCTCCTGTGGAGGACGAGCATCCTTGGAAGACTCCACTTCTACAAGTTCCTTGAGATCTTCATCGAGCTGCGCGACTGGGAGAGGGATATTGGCAGCCTCGACTTGAGCAGGCTGTGCAGGTTGCTCAACGGCAGTTGACTCCTTGAGGTCGTTGTCAAACTGGTCTACTGGAAGGGGAACATCAGCTGCCTCAACTTGAGCAGCCTGTGCGGGTTCCACGATAGTGGTCAGCTGCTTAGGCGAGTCTCGGTCGATTACAGAAGGCTCAGAAGCAGCGGTGGAAGCCTCGGCGGTGGGCTCGGCTTCAACCAGAGGCGTGGCAGTACCACTCTTTCGCTTGTTCTTCTTGCCCTTCTTCGTCTTTGGCGAGTCTTGAACTGAAGGCAAGTCCCGCTCAGTCACAATTGGTTCGACAGGGAGAGCCGATGGTTCCGGTGTAGCTGCAGATGCAGGTTCCGGGATGGAGCTCTCAGTCTCGGCCTCAGGCTTGACCACCTTCTCTTGGACAGTCTCTGTTGCTGCTGGCTCAGCAGCAGGAGCTTCTTCAGTCGCCGGTACAGGCTCGCTGGCAGGGACATCGTCATGTGTGCGTTCGATCACAGGTTCGACAAGCGTCGTAGAAGATGGCCTCTCGGCCTCAGTGCTTTCTTGGTCAGCCTTCTGGACTTTCTTGCTCTTCTTGGTCATCTTCTTGTCCGCGATTGGAGTGACTTCCTCGCCCTCGGGGATAGAAGTCCCTGCAACTACAGGCTCCACGCTAGCGGGCTCATTGGCAGCGAGGTTCTTTTTGGGGAGATCTGCTTCGCCCAAGATTGTGGAAGGTTCCTCGCTGGCAGGAGTTGGCTCAGGTAGCAATTGCTCGCCCCAAGCTTCTACTGCAGTCTCCATAGGAGTCTCGACAGGTTCGCTGGCTGGGAGTTCGCGCTCGGCTGGCTCAGTGGTCGACGGCTCGGGCGCAGTTTCTACTGCAGTATCAATAGGAGTGTCGGCAGGCTTGCTGACATCGGCCTCGGGTTCCAAGGGGTCGGTGATCTGTACGCTGGCCTTCTTGTCCTTCTTCTCCTTTTTGGTCTTCTTCTTTGCAGAGCTGGGTTCAGGCACGACCGCTTCTTCGGCAGGCGCTTCAGATTCCGCCGGAGCAGGCTCCAAGATTGTCTCCTCAGGCTTTGGGGATGATGGGAATGTGAAAGATGGCTTCCCATTATCAGTGAAGAATGTGGTCTGAGGAGCAACGAATGCAGGAACTTCCTTGACCTCCTCGGTAACCTCTTCTGAGATACCCAGGCCCTTTGGCTCTTCTGCAACAGCCTTGTCCTCCCTGGTTGGAGGGGCCCGTGTTGTCGCTGTAGGTGACATCGAAGGGAGAGCGAACGAAGGCTTCCCATCATCAGTGAAGAGCGAAGTGCGGGGAGTGACTTCCTCCTGCTGTACGGCGGGAGCTTTCTTAGTCTCAGCCACAGACGTACTGGAGGCTGAAGGGAACGAGAAAGGCTTTCCCTCGTCAGTGAAGAATGCAGTCTGCGGAGTAATGGAAGAGCTTCGGTGGGTAGCATCAGGGACTTCCTTGCTGGGAACAGCAGCATTCTTCTCTGTCTCAACCTGCAATTGCGGCTTAGCCTGCGCATCTTGAGAGTCCGGAACAGGCGAAGCAAGCCGAGCTTCCACCTTGGAACTCTTCCTCGAAGACACAGGAGAAATGGATTGTCTTCGCTTGGCAGCCTCTTCCCTGGCAGCTGCCAACGCGGCAAGGACTACAGACTGGGGTTTGGGTGAGCTAGGGGGCGAGGGTGTTGGCGAAGGCGCTATCTTCTTGCCCCAACCGAGTTTGCCCCATATACCAGAGCCCCAGCTCGGTGACGCCGAGTCAGATTCGGCTGCAGAAGATCGACGTCCTTCGTCGCCAATGCTTCGGGGTGCCCCTGAGGCACCGGCTGTGCTGGGACGATCATCTGTTGTTGGCTTGGCTGATCGTAGGGCAGGCTCAGCCGGGCTCTTTGCCTTGGGTTCCTCAGCAGTGGCGACGGGCACGTCTGTCCTGGTCTCCTCCACCTTGGCAATTGGCACGCTCGCCTTCGTTTCCTCGACAGGCACATCGGTCTTGGTCTCCTCAAGAAGCGCAATAGGAACGTCCGTCTTGGTATCCTCAACGGGCGCAACTGGCACATCCACCTTGGTCTTCTCGACAGGCACATCCGTCTTGCTCTCCTTGCTCTCCTCAACACCCGCAACCGGCACCTCCACCTTAGCTTCTTCAACAGCCTTAGAAGTAGTAGGCTCAGCCACAGTTTCCCGTGGTACCTCAGCAGGAGCTGCTGGCGCATCTTCCTGGACTAAGAAATCCATGACATTGACCCTGTCTTTCTCGCCAGCATCGTTGAATGCCGGCTCGAGGACTTTGCGCGTAATGATGTCTTGCTGTGATTCTGACTCTGGCAGGATCCGGTCTTCTTGCAAGTGGATAGGGACTTGGGGTTGTGGCTCTCGTGCAGACAAGATCTTGTCGTCCCGCAAGTGGGCAGGGATTTCGGCTTCGGGCAGAGATGCTGGCTCAGGCTCAACTTGTTGACTGGCTCGTTTTCCCTTCTTGCTCTTCTTCGCCTTCTTCGCCTTGGGTGTGACAGCGACGTCTTCTTCAGTGACTGGCTCGACAATCGTTTCCAGATGAGGCTCAATCAAGTCCTCCAAGTCCCTGGGTGCCTCGGCAGCAAGGTCTACTACCTGCTCGGGATCTTGCTTTCGCTCTACGACAGGTTCCGCTGTTCGCAAAGTCTTCTCTGGAACGTCCTCGAAGACAGCACGCCTGACCTCAGTATCTTGGTCTCGCTGGGGGGCGGTGCTGTCGAGGACCTTCTGTCGAAATTGCTTGGCATCAGAAGGGCCAGCAGCAGATGAACCAACAAGCGTAGTCGCATCGGTGACGCAAGAATCAGCAACAGACTGGCGTCGGTTGTTCGTCCACTCGTCGTCATCGATCAAGGTTGGAGAACTTTGGACAGGCACTGCCTCCTCTTCAACTAGAGAAGATGCCAGAGTCCCGGAGATGCTAGTCTTCCTGCTCTTCTTGTTCTTCTTGGTCTTACCCTTGCCCTTGCCCTTTGGCTCAGGTACAGGCTCAGCCTCAGCTGCGATTTCAATAGGCTCGGGTGCAGGCTGCTTCTCCTGGATGGTTGGCTCTGGCACAGACTCAGGCTGTTTCTCCTCAACAGCCGGTCGAACCTCCTTAACAACATCCCTAGACTTGCGTGGAGGCGAAGAGGGGCGTGATAGAAGAACAGTAGCAGCGGCAGCAGTCAATCCGCCAACCACTGCACCAAGAGCAGCGTCCTGAAGTCTCGACGAACTCGACGGGGGAGAGTCTCCACGGCGAGGCGTACTGATATCCCGCATCATGCTGTCATCAAGAGGAGCACTGGTCTCCAAAGGCGTTGAATTTTGCGGAGACGTTAATGTTGACATGAAGTCGTCAGTGGAGGACTCATACTGCTCAGCTCTGGCGGTTTCCAAGGCGGCAGTGAGAGAGTCATAGTTTGGACCGACTTTCTGCGTTTGCGGTGCACCCGCAAAATAATCAGACGCCTTTGGTGTAGCTTGACCAGATTCCTCGATTTCTTGGATTTCGCGGTTGGCGAGTTCGGGGTGTTGAAGCTCCGGTCCATATCGGGGTGAGATGAGGTCTGATACGACACTCAAAGGATCGAGATGTTGCTCATTGGAGAAGGGGTCAGGTCGCTCATCGGGCGATTCCTGGGCAGACTCAAACTCTCCATCTGACTCAGTGCCCGATGCCACTGATGGAGTGGTGCTGGGTGGTAGAGGCGGTAGCGCTTCCTGAAAATCTCCGGACTTGCGGTTGCGTTCCACAAGATACAATGGTCGAAACTCACGCGACGACTTGAATTCGGTGGAGTGAGACTTTGCATGCCGATGAGCACGTGTCGGTGATGGGACGGGAATAGGGCTTGTCACTTGAGGAGCCTCGCCGGAGAAGTCGCGCTGGCTGACAGAGGGACCACTGGGTTTTCGAAAGCGAATGGGGACAGCAGTGGATGACAGTCTTCTTTTGGCCAAGTCTGCTATAGGGCGACTGAATTCGGGTGATCGGGTTGGAGAGCTTGGCCGTGACAACGGTAGAGGTGGAAGCTCATCCGGGAAGGCTTCTAACAGCCAAGGCTGTAGACCTGTGAGACGAGTCAGTAGCGCGCGGCTGTCTTCGAAAGACAACTCAGGTGTCTTGGGCCGGTCAGCGTCAGCGGAGGCCTCAGCGGAGGCGGTGACGCGGGTGTTGTCGGATGTCGTAAGCGGGGATTCGGGCCGACCTCCCGGGATGATGCCACTACCCTTTTGAGCCTCAAGGACAGGCTCACTTGCGGGCAGTGGACTTGGAGCGGCTGCGGCCACTGCCCGATCGTCTAAAAAAGACGGTTGGTCTTGTTCTAGTTGTTCATCGGCATGCGAGGGCGGGGTTCGAGCGTTTGAACGATCCTAATACACAACATCAACATTCATTCTAATTACATTGCGAACAACGATGCTATCGCACATAGGAAGAGCGATGTACCTTGTCATCATACGCATCCTCCCTGTCTCTATCTCCTCTTTCACTGCGACTGCGACTACTCCTCTTCTCGCGTCGACTACTGCTAGAGATCGTGGAGCGCATATCATCATCGTCTGAGCCGTACGTAGAAGCGCGATCTGACCGATGCTTCCGTCTACGATGTTTGCGTTCCTCATCGTCGTCGTCCCTCGATTTCGATGACTTGCTGGCTGCCTCAGCCAGGTTTTCCCTTGACTTGCTGCTGAAGAGACCCAGCAAACCACTTGGTCGCTTCTCCCTCTCCTTCTCTTTCTTTGGACTGCGCTCCTCGTCGTAACCTGCGATTGAGGATACTACGGACTTGTTGTCGTCAATATCGTGCTTCGAACGTCTCCGAGAATGCTTGTGCTCGTCATAGCCATCACCATGTTCAGATGCTGCAGATGAGCGGGACCTGTGCTTCTTCTCTGACGGCGAAGCATCCCTCTCGCTCTCTCGTCTTCTGTGTTTACGCCGGCGCTCACCGTTAGCGTCAGAGCGAGCTTCAGAGTATGTAGATCGCGTGTCCCAGTCATCCCCAGCGTCCTCGTCTTCATGGCGACGATGTCTTCGCCTACGTTCGCCGCCCTCTTCGCCATAACCGCGGTCATGGCTCTTCTCACGGGTCTCAGATCTGGCTTCTCGGCGTCTGCGACGTCGCTCCTCGCGGTCAGGGTCGTCGTATTTGAAGCTCAAGGAAGCGATTGAGCCTACGTCGTCGTCATCAGCAATGCTGCGCATAATGTAGTCCTGCTCGTCGTCGGATTTGCTTCGGACATAGGAGTCGTCTTTGGCGCGGGTGTTTGAATCGCGTGGTCGGGTCCTTTCGTCTGAGCCTGCTGAGTGAGATCCATCCGAGTCTTTCTCAGAGGCATCCTTGCGTGCAATGTCGTCAGGAGCGTAATAGCCAGAATCGGCTATGCTGCGAGAGGCGGTAAGCTCGGAGGTTGTGAACGGAGGAACGGTCGTGAACGGAGACGCAGTAGGCACCTTCGGGGCTTCGACGAATGGCTGATAGGTGGAAGCATCAGATTGCGAACGAGTGGTACGAGCGTTCATGTAGTCATCGGATTTCACCTCGGTCCTGAGGGGAGATCCAATCGTTGGAGACCATTTGCCACTGCTATGCCTCTTCTGGTTCTTCGGTCTAGGTGTCTTGTCGGCCAACTCCTCAATACCCTCGAATGCATAGCTAGGGATTGTCACGTTCTTCTCGTGCTCTTTGAGTGCGCGAGAGCCATTGGCTGGGGGAGGGGCAGGCTTCTCTACAGACGCCAGATTCTGTCTAGCACGTTCGAGGTCAGAAGTCATCCTGGCTTGGTCCTGGCTCATCGTGGTGCCCATTAGTGCAGCAAATCCACCTGTCATGGCGGCAGTGACGGCCTTAATAGCACTGCTTTCCTTGTCTTGTGATGTGCTTCTTGCCGGGGTGTGGTCCCGAGCTTGATCTACAGATCGCGAAGGCTCAGAAGACCGGCTTGGCTCGGCGTATCGTGAAGGATCTGGGACACGAGTGGGTTCTGCAGAGCGGGAAGGTTGAGTAGAACGAGATGCGTCGGTGGAACGAGTCGATTCGGGGGAGCGCTGAGAGTCGGAGTAACGAGTTGATTCAGGAGATCGTTGCATATCGGAATAGCGAGATGACTCCGGGGAGCGCTGCGAATCAGACCAGCGAGTGGACTCAGGAGAGCGTTGAAGTTCGGCAAAGCGCGACGGCTCACCATTTCGTGAAGGCTCACTCGGTCGAGGTAGTTCGATATCCCTGGGATCGCGTTCGATGGACCGCGACGGTTCAATGTCTCTCGGGTCGCGTTCGATGGATCGCGATGGTTCAATGTCCCTGGGGTCACGTTCGATAGCTCGTGATGGCTCAATGTCTCGGGGATCGCGCTCGATGATGGGGCTGTGAGGTGGGCTGATGTCGCTCATCTCCCAGGTATCCACACTAGCTCGCTTTGACTTGGAGGATGACGACTTCTTCTTCTTCTTGTCCTTTTTCTCCCTCTTGCTGACCTTGAGCTCGGACTCAGACTCCCTGCTCTTCTCCTTGCCCCTCTCTGAAACTACGGCAGGTTCCGGCTCGCCCCGTCGTGTGACTACAGTCTCGTTAGTACCCTTTGCCTTCTCCTTACCCTTCTGCTCCTTCGCCGCTGAAGAAGCTGAGGCCTCTTCAGCAGGCAGCTCAGATATTGGCTCGTCATCAAAGCTACCGGGGATGTGCATTGGCAAATCCTCCTCAAGCTCGCCTTCAATAAAGCCAGGTCCGACTGCGCTTTGCTCTGGTATCCTCCACATCTCGTGTACTGGTCCAGGCTGATAATATGCCGTCTGCACGCTGCTTACTGAGCGCGCAGGCTCAGGCTGGTAGTAGGCAGTTTGGACACTGCTAGACGATGGTGCAGCAGAGTAGGCAGTCTGGACACTGTTGGTTGATGGCGCGGCAGAAATGGTTGATGCGGCAATTGTGGAAGGCGCCTTGTTGGTGTCGGAGAACGGGTTGCTAAGAGTAGAGGGAGTAATAGGATCACCATGCCTGTAGTCAGCTTCATCAGGCTTCTCTCGCGAAAGAACCGCTGCAGAGGTCAAAGCCGCGGCTGCAGTAGCTGCTGCTGCAGTGGCCGCTGCGGCGGCGGCCTTCTCCTGCTTCCTCTTCTCCTTCTTGCTGCTCTTCTTTGATGCGGCACCTGCGACACTGTCCCATGTCGAATCATCCTCTTCGCGGATGTACTGCGTGCTCGGGGCGATTTCCTTTGGCTGAGGAGCTGTAGGCGCCTCCGGGGGGTAAGGCATGTACGTAGGTGGTGCTTGTTCGGACTTGGGTGGTTCACGTTGGATAGTGGCTACGTCAGGCGAGTAATTGGACTCTGCACGCCTGAGATCGCCATCCGAGACAAATTGTTCGCGATAAGACTCAGGAGTTGGCACATCGAAGTGATGAAACTGGTTCTCACCCCAGCTCACCCGAGACCTGGCGCGATTGAAGTCAGGCTCTTCTTCAGTCTCTCGGATACGCTGAATAGGTGGTGCTGGGGAGACAGACGCACTGCGCACAGATGGCGCACGGCTACCTGGAGGCGTGGGCATGATGAGGTTCAATGTCGGTACAGGGGGCGGTTGTTGTCTGGCAGACCGACCGTCTTTTGTAGCAGTGAAGGCATATGAAGGTGGATATGGCGGGACTATGGGCTGGCTCGTAGGGTAGTCTTCGTGCGCATAGTAGGTGTGTAGGTCCGGAGCTCCCTCGTTGGGATTCGGAGCGTGAACTTTGGGCAAGTTGTCGTTGTGTAGTAGTTCGGCTGGTGCAAAGAACTCGGCCTGAGAGATTGGCTTTGCGGAGTATCTATCCTCCCAGTCGCGTAATACTTCATTTACAGCCTCGCGAGGTGGTTCCTTGAACATGTCGGGGTTGAAAATGTCGTCATCGAATATGTCTTGTTCGACCTTGCTGGGCTCGATGGTCTTCACATTGGCCGCCTCGAGCTTCTTTGCAGACTTGAATCCGCTTGTCTTTGAAGAGCTCGTCTTGGAAGAGCTGGCCTTTGAGGAACTACTCTTTGAAGATGACGATTCGCGCTTCCAGCCACGCTCACGTTCTTTCTCGCGCTTCCGTTCACGCTCCTTCTCCTTTTCCTTCTCTTTCCTCTCCTTCTCCTTGTCTTTGTAGGAAGAGATGGCTGCTGTCGCGATAGCAGCAGCGGCACCGGCAGCTACAGCACCAGCGATAGAAGACTTCTTGGTGTCTGGTTGGAAGACCTCCCGTTCGCGCTCCTGCAATTCCTGCTCCTTACGCTGCACGACGGTGGCAGTCGAGGCGATTGAGCTTCCAGTGGGTTGTGATTCAAGCTTCCGTGCTCGGTCGCTTTCGTATCTGCTGGAATACTCCTGTGCTTCATGTTCCCGGCGTCGACGCTCCAGGTCCTCTTGGATCTCGGCCTCGCGCCTCGCGGCCTCGGCGAGCTCAGCCTCTTGTTGCTGAGATTCGCGACGTTCTCTCCGCTTTCGCTCCGCCTCAGATGCCTCAATGGCAAGCTGACGCTGGTGCTCCAGGTGTGCCAGATGTTCCGCGCGCCTTTGACGCTCCCGCTCTTCGGCTTCTCGAGCTGCACGCCCATGTAAGTCATTCTGTTCACGACGACGCTCTTGTTCAAGCTTAGCTAGGCGTTCGATCTCCATAAACTTGCGTGCCTCTTCTTGTTGACGTTGCAGTTCACGGCGTCGTCGCTCGTCTTCCTCGCGTGCCGTGTCTTCGAGGCGAAGGAGAGTTAGACGACGGTCTTCTTCAACCTTGCGGGCCTCCTCCTCTCGAAGTTGCTGCTCGATTCGCAGACGCTCTTCTTCCTCCCGTCGGACAGCTTCTTCTCGCCGTGCCAGCTCTTCACGTCGCAACGCCTCTTCTCGTCGAGTCAGTTCTTCTCGTCGCAGAGCGTCTTCTCGACGTGCCTCTTCATCGCGTCGTTGCTGTTCTCGTCGGATGCGTTCATCCTCCTCTCGTCGTGCCTCATCCTCTCTTCGCTGCTGCTCGCGGCGACGGTTGGCTTCTTCTTCGAGCCTATCTTGCTCCTTGCGTCGCTCGCGTAGCTCTTTTTCAGCTTGCTCCTGAGTTAAATTGAAGCGTACATTGCTCGATGCGCTAGGCGGACGGCTAGGCGGACGATCAGCGTGCTTGAGTGCGGAGACTGCTGCGGCACCAGCAGTTGCGGCAAGGCCAGCGAGAGCCGCATCTCGTTTCCAAGATGTTGTTTGAATGGGCGAAGAATTAGCTCGGCGAAATGTGGGGTGTTGAGGACTTTGGATGATGATGTTCTGGACTTGGGATTGTGCTGGATAGGGAGGTGGGAAAGGCGATGTAGAGAAGACAGGTGGACCTGCTGGGGCGGTATAGCCTGTTTGAGGGGGTGCTTGCGTGGAGTAGATAGTTCCGGGAATCTGATGCATTGGCTGCGGCTGCTGGATGCTGATGGGAGCGGGCCCTGAGGTCGCCAGAGGCTGCGAAGTCGAGATTGAGCTTGTGCGTCGTGCATCGAATGATGCATTAGGATCGATGGGTGCGACAGGATAGACTGATTGCAACGTCTGGGCGCTGCTCGACTCGCTGTCATGGTGTGTATGGCTCGTACTAGTTACAACTGTCGCGCTTGTCAATGCACCTGCGGCACCAGCTGCAGTGGGTCCGATGAGAGAGGTACTGGCAATGTTGTCGTAGAGATTGTTGGAAGACCTCCTCTTCTTATTGCCGAAACCCCAACGCCATCCCCACTTCTTCGTACCCGAGTCATCAGACGCAATTGACTCTTGGCTCTTGGTCTTCTTCAAGGTGTAGTCACCGTACACAAGACCGCCATCGCTGGCGGAATCGGAGGTACCATCGTCGGGCAGGTCCTCCCACTCATCGTCGCCGAATCGCGAACCAGGCCGAGAAGAAACGCTACCCTTGCGGCTGAGGCGGTTCTCCTTGACTGTAACCACCTCGTTGCGTTTGCTCTTGCCAGCTTTGGCTGCGGTGATAGCTGCTGCAGTGGCGCCAAGCCCAATGAGCGAAGCCTTCAAGCGGTCATCAGAGTTGCGTCTCTTGACTGATGATCGCCTGCGCCTCCTGACATAACCAGTGCCGAACGCCATCTCAGAGTCAGACGAGGACGCTGAGCCATTGCCGAAGTTGAAGAACCCCTTCTTCTTCTTCTTGAGGCTGTTTTCCTTGGAGCGCTTCTCTTTCGGGGGAGGCGCGGCGAAGAAGCCTCCCAGGAAGCCACCTTGAGATTCGTGAGTATCGCCAATCTCGATGACGGAGGCGCCAGAAGTCGAGCTGCGTGATACTTTGCGTCGGAGTTGCTGGGACCTTCTCCTCTTGCGCTCATCATCACTGCTATCTCGGCGGGGGTGAAGCACTTGGACTCTCTTGGGGGACTTGGAGCGGCTCGGTTGCTTCTTCGTGGCCGCTCCGAAAGCAGCACTCGCCAGGCCTGCACCGATAGCAGCACCAATCAAGCCAGACTTCCCGTGCCCTGAGTTAGAGCTGGAGCTGGAGTTTGATCGCGAATGTCGGCGACGAACCTTGTGGTCCCGGCGGTCCTTCTTGTCATTTGTAATACCGACGGACATTTGGGACATGCGATCGGCAGAGCGACTTCGATGACGGATCGCAGCTTGGCCATAGCTATAGCTCTTGCGTTCGGCTGATCGGCTGCGGCTGCGGCGCGATACGCGAGAACGTCCAGACTTGATGCTGTACGTGTCATCGAAATCGTCACGGCCCGCGGTTAGCACGGCCTTACCAACCTTTGCGAGGCCGATGCCCCCAAGGCCAGCAGCTACCCATCCTGCCGCACTGGTGGAGTTCTTCTTGCGTCTCTCCTCACCCGAGGAGATAGAATTGTAAGACTTCTTCTCTTTCAGGTTGTAACGAGATTGTTTCTCGATGCCGCCCGAGAGACGCATGTGCTCGTTGGAACGCCTCTTGTAGTAGTGGTGCTTTCGCGGAGCATCAAGCACAGAGGAACGAGGGTCAAAACAGCCCCTGCAGACTCCAATGTACTCTGTGTACTCCTCCATCTTTTGCACATCCTCGTAGTCCTTCCACCAATCGACAAATTTGGAGACAGGGCCAGTGTGTTGATGATGCTGGGCCATGCCGCCTGAGATGTACGGGCTTGGCGTAAGACCGTTGTGTTGCCCAGGTATGGTTCCATTTGCCGAAGAGTGGTTGTGCGACGTACTGTGCACATGGGAATGTGAGTGCGACTGGGAGTGGGAGTGGGAGTTATGGTGATGTAAGCCATAGGCCGCCAGTCCGGCAGCACCAGCAGCATACAGCCCGGCAGCGCTGCCAGACGAGTGCTTCTCGGGCTTGCCTGGCCGAGGTGGCTTAGGTGGAGGCACGTCGTCGTCGCCATAAGGAGGCTCGACGTAGGGAGGGAATTGGGCGCTACCGTTTGTAGCAGTATTAGAAGCATTATGACCTTGCCCGTACATGCTGTAAGATGATGTAGGACCAGCCGGGGTATTATTAGGGTGTGATGAGTATGAGGTAGAAGGGCGAACATTCGACGTGCTGCTATAGCTGGTAGAGTGTTCATGATTAGAAGAGCTGTGGCCCATAGCATATCCAAAGGCGGCCCCGCCAGCCATGGAAGCAGCAGAGCCATAGGTGCTAGACTTGTTAGGCCTCGAGGAGGATGCAGGTCGCGGTGGCTTCTGGGGCGCAGCCGTGTCGTCGACAAAGGCGCCAGGCATGGATGAGCTTGAGGGTCGTGGGGGCCTGGATGAAGGAGGGTCCATGCTGGAGGTGTAGAAGTCTGCTGCAGCGCCAGATCCAGTGTCGGGGACAGGATTGGCATGCGCAGAGGCGGCGATGAGATGGGGAGTATTGTGGTTTATAAGAGGACCTTGCTGGGGTCTAATACCAGGCTGGTCATGCACAGACTGGCCTTGGTCTCTATAGTAGTCGGAAGCCTCTCCATATGGCTGGCCACCCGGTAGAGCACCAGACGCATAGTGCACCGGGTCCTGGCCAGGGAATTGGCTCTGCACGTGGCTCGACATTCCTTCGGTATGGTGTGGGACGCTGCTTCCCACTGGCAGAGCGCCAGACATCATGGGCGCTCCTGCCTGGCCAGGAAACTGCGAGAAGCCGTCGCTGCCAGTCTGGCCGCTGAAGCTGCGTTGGGTGCCCGAGCGGGGGCTGTCACCAGTGTCGCCCCTGTAACTGCTCGACTGCGACAGGCTGCCGGAGCGTTCGGAGCGCGTCGTTGAGCGTCGCTTCTCCACCTTCCTGTCCTTGGCCTTCTTTCGGTCTTTGTCGTCGCCGCGCATGGTCGAGGTGGTGGATTCGGCGTAGCTGCTTCGGCGGTCGTCGCGACGTCGGTCATAGTTCTCTGGGTCGTCGTAGAGGTCGCTGTTCGTGTTTGTGTTTGGGTTCGTGTTTGTTGTTGCCCGTGAGCGCGGCATCTCATCAAAAGCTGTCGCAAACGACACTATCGATGAACCCGCCGTTTCGCGTCGTGTGCTAGGAGGCTTGCGGGTCGACGTGGAGGAAACTACAGACCTAGCCTCACCCGTCTCCCGATCGCGCTTCGAACGCGTGGAGTCGCTAGTGCGGCGGCGGCGACTTTCTTCGTCCTTGGAGCTGTTGGAGGCAGCAGAACTGCCCGTTAACCTGCTCCACATGATGAAGAATCAATCGCAGCGGTGGTGGTGCGTTGGAATTAGGGTGCACTGCTGGCAATGGGTTGGGCGCAAATGAGGCCAATGTGGTCGAGGTATGCTGGGTATATCGCTGTAGCCGCTGGCAAGTGATAGAGAATCGTTTAAATCGTCATGTCGTGATGATATAATACAGAAACCCGATGCTGAGAAGCCAGACACGCATGCGCTCAATGCCAACAAACAATAAAAGGCAGCCTCTCGCCGACTGAATCGCGAACGATGGTGTGGTGGAGGGCAGCTGAGGTGCTCGGCTTGAGCGTAAGCCCCAGCAGCCGAATGAGCTGGCGGCAAGGGTTAGCTCGGTGCACAAGGCCTAGAAACGAGGCTGGTCCAATGGTAGGCTATGAGCAAATGCTCCATCGGGCGGATCTACTGGGGCCCTTTTGCACCCACATCCATGCACTGTCCTTCTGTTCGTCTCGTCGTTCATGGCGTGGAGTCTTTGGTGTAAGCTAGCTAGCTTACCCTCTAGCAACAGGCCACCTAGCTACGGTACGATGACCTGCACAGAGAAATGTGCCAAGCGATCGTCGCACAATGTCCTCTTTGGCCGCCATACATATGCAAAGATTGATTTCTGTCCATCACATGCATCTCGTGCATTATCATGGTTGTGAGTGTGTGTGCGCTAAGCCCACGGAATTTCGCCGACCCTGTTCCTTGCACGATGACATTCAAAATAAATAATCCTAGTTGTTTGACCCACCGTGAAGAATACCTACTGCATCCAACAAAGGTGCTCACATCACAAAAATAACTAGGCGACTCGATGATGCACATTTTCATAATTCAACACTTGTGCGGTAGTAAAACCCTATCTGTCTATGGCTCACCTATCCATTAGCACTATTCCTAGCCCGTCGGTGGAGACTACTCCCCACTCTTTCTTCGGACCTCGTCGGAAGGATGCCTTCAATCCGTTTGTCCACCTGATTTTTCCCCAAGTCTTCCTCCGAACAGTCGCCAAATATAAGGGGCCCTGGGAACGCAACCCCGAATTTACTGAAACAACTGAATAGTTAATCCCAATTCGAGCCTTGACGCTCTTGATCCTTGTGTTGCATAACCTGCAGAATGCTCCCAATGACAAGGTCGAAATGTACAATGTTCTTTCCCGCCTAGAACAACTTACAGAGTAATTTCTGCATACTCAATACCGAAATTATGTGCTCTCACAACTATGCTTCCTAACTTTCCAAGAATGAGAAGAACATAGTTATTTGGGGGCTCAACTAGGGCCGGCCACCTGCCATAATCGCTTGCCGAATGGCAATGATCTGATTGCGGTACTCTGGGGTCAATGCGTCGATTTGCTGCTGCGTCAAGGCCATGACTTGAGCATATATAGCTTGTTGTTCCATGGCAGGTGCTTGTTGTTGTTGTGGAGGCTGCGTGTATGGCTGGGGGGCTTGAGGTTGTGGGGGAGTAGGCGCGACTTGTGGTGGGTACCCAGCGTAGGGCATCGGTGGTCGCGTAACTTGTGGTGGAGGCTGCTGGACTTGCTGAACTGGTGGGGCGGGCGCGACTGGAGCTGGCGCAGCCGAAGTCTCGACGAGCGACGTCAAAATTGCCGGATCAACCAACTGCAGCAGAAGAAGCGACTGGAAGATGGCATAGGCTAGCTGAGGCGCCTGCCGCAGTAGCTCCGTCGCCTTGGCCGGGTCCGTCATGACGAGGCCCTTCATCTGCGAGAGGATGTCGAGTAGCTGATCGGGAGGCAGTGTAGAGAGGGTGCGCGAGATGGCATCGGGGCAGGTGAGGTTCGGTGGCAGCTCAACGCCCGGTGGGAGAGGGCCGAGTGCGCTTGAAGGTTGCGCCGCTGCTGGTGCTGCCTGTTGTCCGTTCATGGCTGGCGGCGCGCCCTGGTCGCGATTCGAAGGCGCGTTGTCGCCAGAGCCGCTCTCGTTGGACCAGTCCACCCTCAGCTTCCTTCCCATGAGATCGTAGTCGTTGAGGTTGCGCACGGCTGATGCTGCCGCGTCGGCGTCGGCGAACTCTGCAAAGCCAAAACCCTTTGGTCGACCTGTTTCCTTATCATAGACCAAGCGGAAGTTGTTGACCTGTCCGACGCGCCCGAGTGTCTCGATAATAAGTTCCTCTGTACCGCCTGTTTGCTTTGTTAGCAATGCGGCCACGCGTGAGACATGGGGACAGCCTACCATAGGGAATATTGCCTATGAATACCACCCGGCCCGCTTTATCGTTGGGTGCCATGGCGTTGTGAGTGTCGAAGATAGAAGCGTCTGGATTTGGTGTGAACGTTGCTCTAATGTTCGAGAGTTGGAGGAGAGTGATCTTTGAGTGTTTCTTCAATGCGTCGATGCTTCCTACCTTAGCTGGTAAGTTAGCGCGGAGGGTCCGGGCGCGTGCACTACCGGTACGCCCTTGCCATTTCGGGAACTTCTACCAACATTCACCACAGTACACCAGACTCAGAATTGTTGACTTGTCAAAGCATACCCAAGATTTGAACTGGTTCGATTTGTTAGGCATGTTTGGCGACTATAGTGACCTTTTTACACTGGAACGTCAATATGTGCAACAACCGTCGCAGCAGCACCCGGCGCCCACGTAGTTGGTAATGATGTAGAACTTGAGTAGGTTTGAGTGACATGGTGGAGATTCAGAAGGAGCATTGATCCGTTTTACACACTGTCTGATTATCTTCTACCTATGTGTTCATATTTATCTTGTATTTCTGTTTATACAAAATTCGTACTTCAATCAAGAGTCTTGCTCTATATATCGCTTACATATCCAATACGTGCTTACAGCTTCGCCGTCTTCGGTGCACAACACTGACCATTCTCACCAACAGTTGCAGTAACGCTGGGCTGTTGGTGCTGCTCGCTCAGCAGGTTGCTCTTGTTAAATGCTTGTTCGCTGGGTGGGACATCGAGAGCGGGGTTCTTATCGAAGAAGTTGACTGGCTTCAGATGAATACTAAGCACCTCACAGGCATAACCGGGAAAGTCCTCGACCCTGGGAATGTGGTTGATGCCGGCTTGCACATACACGACCAGATCCGTGTCCTTGA